ATGTAAGGTGTAACATATGATGTAATTTAAGTAACCATGACCAGCTGACTGATGTAAGGTGTAACATATGGTGTAACTTCAAGTAACCTGACCAGCTGACTGATGTAAGGTGTAACATATGGTGTAACTCAAGTAACCCTGACCAGCTGACTCATGTCAGTCAGCTGGTCAGGGTTACTTGAGTTACACCATATGTTACACCTTCGAGTCCACGATGTTGAAATATCTTAAATAGAAACTTAAGTGCTTACTTGAACTGTCTTATATTATAAATCGAGTTTCTAGTACAGATATTAATAAGTATTATTGATTCCAAGGGTAGAGCAGTCCCGCTGAGGGTGCAAGAAGATGATACCTCTCCCTCATCTTCCGTCACTAGGTAACCTTTATTTAAATATAGATAATATTAGTGTTTAGGCCTAAATTCTGAGATAATTATTATGTAAACTGCAGATGAGTTTTATTAATTTGTCGATTATATGTTTAAATTCAGAAGCGTGTAAAAATAGCTGGTCAGATCAATATTTTGTCTCTCACAAGTCACTGCCGTAAAGGCCTTTCGTTAAATACTCGAGGGTTGGGCTTCAAATTGCGTGATATTTATCACAGATTTCAGGCCTATTTGTTTCTAAAGATTCGTCGGCTATCGGCTTTTAAACTTTAACTTTCAAAGCATTATTTTATTGGTTAATATAAACTGCTTATTTGAGTTTAAGTCAATGTCGTTTATCTATGTTTCAATACGTATGCCAATGTTTCTTAGCCAACGCTCGTTTAAATCCTTGTTGGATAAATGTTTGAGAAAGGGGAAAAAAGACATGCATTTACAACTTTCACATTACCGAACAAAATTCAAATTCTGCTTAAATATAACATATGATAACTGCAATTAACAGCTAATAGATTAAAAGAGTTTACCTCGCCACACACACAATACAACCAACTGTAGCAACAACTCACACGTTTATAGATAACAAGTTTTTTCAAATTAAATGATCGTTCAGTATCCAAACACTCACGTTTCTCAAGGTGATCCTACATTAACCAATTAGTAAGATACGCAAAATGTTTCTAAAGCAAAGTTCAATATGTGATTTAATGTCAAAAACTCGCTGATTTATTCAAAACATGGAAATCTTTCTTCATATGATCACTAGCCTGTCCTAATAATCACGTAAAACAGCTGATACTCGAGTTCTTCTCTTCTGAGAAACAGCACCACACCTAGAAAAAGCGATTTGCGTGTTCTGTTTTAAAGTCACCCACAAAGCAATTTACCATTTTTGGTCTAACTACAGTTAGTTTTAATTTTGCTCGTAAAAATAAAAGAAAGTCATCCTAATTTGTAAGTCAGATATACGTTTAACATACAGCCGAGAACAAGCAGTAAGACACCAGCTCCATCTGATGGATGTAGAAGACCGCTGGCGGTTCCAGTGAACTCTATAAAAAAATGGGAATAATGTCGTAAAATCAATTTTAAGAAATAAATATTTTCTTCCAAATTTTTATTTCTTGATAAAATTATTAATATAATACATTATTGCTAGAACTGCGTTTAACATGAACTTTGATGAGACAGTTCGTATTGTGTGTGTATAATGTGGAGGTTTTGGAGCATGTATATACATATGTATATATATACTTTTCTTAAAATCCGTGAAAATCCTTGAAAGAAAAAATACAACTACGTCACTTGATCAGGGTTACTTGAATTAAACCGTATGTTACACATTACGTGAGTCAGCTGGTCAAAGTTACTTGAGTTACACCATATCTAACACCTTACATGAGTCAGCTGGTTATGATTACTTGTGTTACACCATATGTCACACCTTACTTGAGTCAGCTGGTCAGGGTTACTTGAGTTACACCATACATCAGTCAGCTGGTCAGAATTACTTGAGTGACACCATATTTTACACCTTAAATGAGTCAACTGGTCATGGATACTTGAGTTACACCATATGTTACACCTTACATGAGTCAGCTGGTCAGAATTACTTGAGTGACACCATATTTTACACCTTACTTGAGTCAGCTGGTCAGGGTTACTTGAGTTACACCATACATCAGTCAGCTGGTCAGAATTACTTGAGTTACACCATATTTTACACCTTACATCAGTCAGCTGGTCAGAATTACTTGTGTTACACCATATGTTACACCTTACTTGAGTCAGTGGTCAGGGTTACTTGAGTTACACCATATGTACACCTTACACCAGTTAGCTGGTCAATATTACTTGTGTTACACCATATGTTAAATCTCACATCAGTCAGCTTGTCATGATTACTTGTGTTACACCATATGTTAGATCTTACATCAGTCAGCTTGTCATGGTTACTTGAGTTACACCATATGTTACACCTTACATCAGTCAGCTTGTCAATATTACTTGAGTTACACCATATGTTACACCTTACATCAGTCAGCTGGTCAATATTATTTGAGTTACACCATATGTTATATCTTACATCGGTCAGCTGGTCAGGGTTACTTGAGTTACACCATATGTTACACCTTACGCCAGTCAACTGGTCAGGGTTACTTGAGTTACACCATATGTTACACCTTACATCAGTCAACTGGTCAGGGTTACTTGAGTTACACCATATGTTACACCTTACATCAGTCAGCTGGTCAATATTATTTGAGTTACACCATATGTTACACCTTACATCAGTCAGCTGGTCAATATTATTTGAGTTACACCATATGTTACACCTTACATCAGTCAGCTGGTCATGGCTTCTTGAGTTACATCATATGTTACAC